CGGCTTTTTTCTTTTTGCTTATGTGGTGCTGAGGAATCGAACCCAGGGCCTCATGCATGCAAGGCAAGTGCTCTACCACTGAGCCACCTTCCCAGCCTATAACTTCTTTTTTGAAAAAAAAAATGTTATTCAAAAGCATGAACCACCACCCAAACCACCACTAGTTACCCTAATATCTAGCACAAAACTGATCACATAACTTGTTTGTTTGTTTGTTTGTAGGTCATGGGGCTGAACTCTGGGCCTGGGCACTGTCCCTCAGCTCTTCAGCTCAAGGCTAGCACTCTACCACTGAACCACCTTCCCAGCCCACACATAACATGTTTTATTGCAACCCCAGAAATTAAGCAGCTGACTTACAATGATAGCATTTATTTAACATTTCATAATTTATAACATTTTACTTACTGCTCTCTTTTAAGCTTCATAACAACTTTTGTATGTAAATATTATTATTGTGCAATGAGCCACAGAAGCAAACATAGCACTAATCAGTAGAAAATCAAGAAAACACTTGGGAAAGTATCTGGCATTAGAGAGGAAAGTAAAGAATATATTGTTATAGCTTTTTTGGAAATATTTCCTTAGAATTGGATACTCCGAATATTACTATCAGTCCTTACTCCTCCCAGCAGAAAATAATCAGACTAAACATTAAGAGTTCGGGCTCCTTTTCCTCTATTGAGCTCTTTATGTGTTTGGACTGGATATGTTCCAGTGGAGAGGGGAGTGTCACCCTGAGGTTCAGAGGGAGAACAGGTTTCCAGGCCAATGATTAGAAACAATCACACCCGAGTTTTCCCTTAGGGAACATGCCTAAACTGGGCAGCTCACACATTCCCCTTTTCTTCCTGGATAGGATCTCAGTTGTAAAGACTATGGCACTTGATCTAAATTACATTCTTTTCCAACTACTTATCCAGCTTCTCTATTGCTTCTCTTATTTTATCTCAAGGGCAAACTCCTTGGAAGTGTGTAGAGCAGGGGGAAAAATAGCTAAACCTAAAATCTGCTTTTAAAGGCAGAGAATTGAAAATGTCTTCTAATTACCAAAAAAAGTATCATGTGATATATAGTTTGAGACAGAGGATGAAATACGGCCTTTCCTTCCTTATATAGGTTGTAAATGACAGTGGATCTCAACTTAACTATACATTAGAATCACCTGAGATACTTAAAAAAGTGTAGATGCCCAGACACCTGAACTCCTGGTTGGTCTTCTGTGTGTGGCACAGAGATCGGTCACACTCAATAGGGTGTAGTGTGAGAATAGAATTGGATAGTAGTAAAAAGTGCCTACAGTAAAATTTCCACGTGGCAGGTATCAGTGATCGTTAGTTTCCTTTGCACACTATACTTACCAAGGGCTATTACCATGAGTAATCCTGGAACTCCAAAAGCCAATGCATAGCAGTCTTCCCCAAAACACTGCACATCACCTGAAGAAAATAGGGGGGAAAAAGAACAACTCTGCATCTATAAGCTTAGATTCTTGATATAAACATAGCCACTATCTTTCTTCTCATCACTAGTCCCTAACCCTTACTTTCATCTAGAAAAAAAAATCAAGACTGAAAAAGAAATTCTCACATATTGTCAAACCTTTATAAAAGGAAAAGATGGACCATAGGGATTTTTAAGACAATTTTGGTGATAGCTAGAGTAAACTTTCTACACACAAGCAAGGATCCTAACCTCTTAGCATAGGTGTGATAAAAGTAGAAATCAAACTCCCTGCATTGATGGACAGGTAGAAGACTGAGAAGTATCTAGTCCGTTCCTCTGCCTGAAACAAACAAGATAAATATCATCAGTACAATGTGCCTCCATATTCCATCCCACTCCATCCCACACCAAGACAGAGATTCAGATACTGGCTTCATGGTATCTGAATATCATATTAGCTATTTCATAAACATGGAGGGCTGACCCCAAATATTTATTTATTTATGAAACACCAATACAAGCAGATTTAACCTTCTTTTGCACCTTTTCCTGGTAAAATCGATCATTTTCTCCTCAATGCCATTCTTATGGCTTATACATACATCTTCTAATGCATTAAATGTTTGTTTCTTTAAATGGGTTGCGACTTCCTGTAGGGTAGGAGTTTTACTCCTTTCTGTAATCCTTAATGCTTAGTACAGCATTTGATATATACTAGAAACTCAATACTAGAAACTCAATACATGTTTATTGACTGTATTAGTTAAATAAATGACTGCTTGGACCAGACTGCTTAGGACCAGAACATAAGACAGTGCAGCAAGCTGTTGATCAAGCAGGGGTTCAAACAGTGTTTAAGGGAGGCTGCCTGAGAGTATAAAAGGACTGCAGTAGGTGTAAAAGTACATGACATGAGCTTGGAGGTAGGCTCATCCTCTCAATTGAAGTAAGCAAGCTACTAAATAAAACAACTTCCAAGTAAAATTTCTGATAAGTGATTCATTATGTGTTGCTCTGCTTTGTTCTAATACCTCAGACCTTTTCCAGATACAATAGAACAAAAATTTCTTCCCTCCCCATGTTCAATTTATGGTATATTTTTCTTCCTTTTTGGGTTCCCATTTAAACTCACTCCATTCATCTAATTCACATAATTCATCATACATAGAATCCCCTTCCCAAAGGTAGGTCATTTCACCAAAGTCAGCAAGCCATGATAATTTGTAAGCCCTCGTCTGAATTGGAAGAAGAGGGGGAGGGAGGAGACAGTCATAATTAGATAGGCAGAGAAGATGGAGGAGGAAAGAAGGGGAGAGACAGAAAGACAGAAAGACATGGAGAAAGAAAATATGATAATTATAGAAGAAGAAATAGATACATTAGGAAGACAGAAAACAGAATGAGAGGAAGGCAGAAGGGTGGCTAATGTAACAGACTGTTCCTTATTTCTACCTTGCTCATCTTGTTTTATTTTCCCATCAGCAGTGAAAAATAATTAGGAAAGGCGGGAATGAGCAGCCAAGGAAATCTGACAATAAAAACTCACTTGCTTGTAAAAATTTGCTTCATGCTTCATTCCAACTGGACATTTTCTCCTTTTATAAAATCTCAAAACTAGATATACTTAAATCATCTACATTACTTGATACCTCCCAGTCCCAAAGTGCTCACTACAGGATCATATTAAATATCTCCAAGTAAGCTTACTACTTCCAACTCCAAATCTTAAGTTTTGGACCAGGGATTTAGGCTTCTACCAAATAAACAACTTACTTCCTAAAGCTTTCACTTACTGGTGTCAGGTTTAAACACTGACATACTGGCACTATCTACAACCAAATACTCTATTATATAACATTCTCCTTGATTCTTATCTTGAGCAGACTAAATATCCTCATTTAAAAAAATCTTTGCTCACCGGTCATGTCCATCTACTGCTCTGGTTACTTTCCTTTGAGTACAATTCAGTATTTCTGTGACTATTTAACTGAGACCAAATCCTGAGATATAATCTGATCTGTATATTACTTCAGTGGCTGCCTGTTTAGTACCCATCTTTGATGCTGGTTCTACATTCTTGGAAATTCAGAAATAATAACATTCTTACATGTTTTTCTTCAAACTGGTCTCCACCAAAAGCTGCAACACAAGGTTTGATACCTCCTGTCCCCAGAGCTATTAGACTCAGGCCGACCAATGACAGAATTCTGAAACAGAGAGATGAGGATGCTAACTATGCTGATATTAACACAGATGTAGAGATGGATTATAGAAATGCAATGGGAGAAATATATACAAGAGCAATTGTTCCCTTCTTGTAAAAATATATGCAAGAGCAATTCTACCCTGTGGGCATTTGCCATTCCCTTCCACTCTAGATATTCATGGAAACTAATCACCTTGGAGCCTGTGCTAGAAAGTATACATTGTGCCTGGTAGTTCATTATCCCCTTAAATGTAACAGATGAAAGCAGATACTGAAGGGACTCCAAAGCTAACATACTGGTTTTCAATCTTATTTTAATTAAAGGAACATTTCTGTTGAAGACTCTTATGGTCTCTAATCTCATATACCCTTCCTAACCACAAAATACAATGTTAAGACTCATCATAATCAATGGAAATGAAATTCCTAACTAATAGAATGAGTACATGTATAGGTACATTATAACATAAATACAGATGGCCTGCTTCCTGAATAGTTATAATCCTATTAACTGAACCAAAGGCATAAAAATCTGTCAACTGTCTCTGACCCCATAAAATCAATACTTTGAGAAGGACAGGGACATATAATATATATATGCATATATATGTCATATATGCATATATGTCATATATATATGCATATATATAGCACATCCAATGCGAATATACAAGAACTACATACAAATGGATAGCCCAATACTTTGGCAATATAAGCAAATATATTTTTTAAATCCTTGATGGATTATAGCTGCATAAATATGTGAGGGAATGTGGAGCATGTGAAGGTTTGCCTTGTTTACATGCATATAAAGAGGATATTGTCTAGGTATTCTACCATTCCTCACATGCTTATTTAATGAAAATAATGGAACATCTCTGGTAATAAAGTCATCTGTAATGAATTCCTAAGACATACAACTATGGGATTTAAGCAAAGTAGTTCAGTTGATTCCATGGGTTACTCACGTATGTAATGTTTTTCCTCCCAGGATTGGAATGGCACCCAAAGACTTGAACACATGGCCAAGCACATACACCAATGAAAGATAGATGATTGTCCTGTGGAGAGAGTTAGTCAGCTTATGTATGTCTCAGAGACCTGAGTAATGTAGATTAAGAGTTCATGCTGTTCTTAATAAACAGAGGAGGAAGAGAAGGGAGTGGGGAGTAAAGAATTAACTAAGAAACACAAAGAAACAACAGTGACTGGAATAAACATATTAGGTAAAGGGTGTGCAGTTCTTCATTCAGTAGTGCAAACATTTGGAGGTAACAGATATTTCCTTCAAGTGCCCTTCTCATATTTACTCTCACCCCTGCTCCACACATACACAGAGCTCTCCTACTTTTGTACAAGATATAACAAGAACTAAGTGGATTTATAGCAAGAATGACATTTCAAATTAGTAAAACCAGTAGAACAAGATATATATTTTTTTGACAAGACATTCAAGCTTTTACCAGCAGGTCCAGTTACACAGTGTGGAACAGTACACTGAATAGAATGGTCAAATAATTTAAGTCAAATGTTTTAATGATGCAATTAAAGAGTTCAGATACATTATTTCAATATATTAATTTCTTTGAAGTCATGTTCAGGCAAGGTGCTGTTAAAAAACCCCATAATCAGCTCTGTCCCCAGATGTAAATTATCAAAAGTTACACAAGGTAATTTTGACATTGCAGTTTTAAATAAAATGTTTGCTTCCCAAAGTAAATTACTATTAGAGGCCTCAAACTTCTAAACTAAATTATATGACACAAATGCACAAAATTAAATTGGCAACGTTAAAGAAAGGTCACATGAATATCTTGAGATATGTAGTGTTTGACATTGAACAGTTTTGTTTTGGCCATCATAGAACAAAAACTGCCCACAAAACCAATTCTGAACCAATTAGATTAACAAAGCTTTCGGATTCCTATATGAAAGCTTTCTGGTACACAGTGATGGCAGAAAGACCTTGGCTCTGGTTTGAGCCTACCCCATTCTGTACTGGGGAGAAACAATCGGTCATTGTGTGAAGTGTCACATATGATTGTTACCTATGCTGTTTCAAAACAATAATTAGGATTAATTAGAAGCAAGGTGATTATACCTCATTGGTAAAAGGCTTCAGAGGCTTTGATCTCATAGCTTTGCCTAATTAGAACAAGGTATTTTAACTTGAGCTGATTTCCTTTTCTTTTCTTTTCTTTTTTTTTTTTGGTCGGTCGTGGGGCTTGAACTCTGGACCTGGGCACTGTCCCTGCACTCTTTAGCTCAAGTGGTTTATTGGAGGCAAGAGTCTCACGGAGTTTCCTGCCTGGGCTGGCTTTGAACCGTGATCCTCAGATCTCAGCCTCCTGAGTAGCTAGGATTACAGGCATAAACCACCAGGGCCTACCATGCCTTAAATTCTTGACTATGTTCCCCCCTAGCTCTCCTTTGCTCTACAAAGCACAAGGGATCAATGACCAATGCCAAGTAAACAGGTAGGGCTAAGAAAAAGGACTTCCCCTGTAAAGAAGTACTAGGATATGTAAAGAGGCAAAGGCTTCTAGGTTTAGCCTGGGTAATTTGGGCCTGTGGGTTGTACTGCCCACCACAGTTTCTTCATGTACAAGTAATGTAAGAAAAGACCAGGAACTTAGACTGTCCAGAGATGTAAAATCAGGTAATTGATAGAAACTTCCTGTTGAGCTTTCTCCAGTGAAGTTACTTGAGTGACAAATAGGAAGTAAAAGACAAAGGAATTCCAACATGAAACATATATAAAGATATGATCTTTACTGACATACAGCAGATTACCACATATTCTCCTCATGTGTAATGTGTATTAACAAACACATCAGGATTCTCTTAACCTATATGTAGAATGTTAATGTAACACACCTTGGGAAGTATAGCGTGTGTGCATATGTATGTATGTATGTATATGTGTATATGATTTTATAGCGTTTTACGCTAATGTGAACTATAAAAATGGAGTGAAGTTACCTTAAGGGTTGGGGAGAGCAGAAATTTCAGGTTGTGGATTCTTTATTGTGAATGTCTACTCTTCCCAGATTGGCTTTTTAAGAATGGAACTTTTAAGAGTTTGGGATAAGAATTCGGTGACTAATCTAGGAATAATTACTATCAGAGGAATGGGCAAGCTTTCCCAAAAGGCTTTCTATCATCTTCTAAGGAGAAGTTCTGTTTGTTAGAATGAAACGAACAAATAGAAATAAAAAGAAAGAGTAAAAAAGGCTATCTATCTTGAACTCTAAAGTATCAGAGATAAATAATAAACTAGAGCTAAATAAATAAACTAGATTATCAGAGAGAAATAAACAGAAGGAACCTGACCTGGAAAGATAGAGTCTGCTGTAGAAATATAAAATTTATATTCAATTGTTGGACTGAATGAATAACAGAAGCATAAAGGGTTTAAGAAGAAAATAGGAACTTCTTGATGAGCAACAAAGGGAATAGTGTAGCTATGAGGATATAATAGAGGAATCTAATAACAGGAACTTAACAGGAGGGGAAAGAAGTCAGAGGGATTTGAAAACCTTGACTTTGAAATAGAATCATGGTCACTGGAATCCCAGGGGAATCCTGTCCTCAGGACTCAAACTGTTTTAGGTAGAACAACAATCTCTCAACAGAACAGTTCAGGAAACTGAAATCCAGAGAGGTCATATGACATCTGTGTGTGTTTGTGTGTGTGTGTGTGTGTATACGTGTGTGAATACACAGGTGCACACACACACACACACACACACACATACTGGAACTTCAGAGAGATCACATGACATTTGTTTTTGAACTCAAGGCCTAGAGTTCTCTCTTGGCTTTTTCTACTCAAGACTGGCACTCTGTCACTTGATCCACACCTTCACTTCTAGCTTTTTTTTTTTTTTTGGGTCCGGTCGTGGGGCCTGAACTCTGGGCCTGGGCGCTGTCCCTCAGCTCTTCAGCTCAAGGCTAGCGCTCTACCACTTGAGCCACAGCGCCACTTCCGGCTTTTTTCTTTTTGCTTATGTGGTGCTGAGGAATCGAACCCAGGGCCTTGAGCATGCAAAGCAAGCGCTCTACCACTGAGCCACCTTCCCAACCCCACTTCTAGCTTTTTGCTGATTAATTGAAGATAGGAGTCTCTTGGATTTATCTGCCAGGACTGTTTTTAAGATCTCAGCCTCTTGAGTAGCTACTATAATGGGTATGAACCAGAGGTGCCAGCATGACATTTCTTTTCTTTTTTCTTTTTTGGCATGACATTCTTCAAGTGATCATTTAATTAGGATTGGATTAAGGCTAGAATTCCTTTTTTCTTTTTTTTAAGACAGAGTTGTGACCCTCCTGTTTCAATCTCCATAGTGTTAGGATTACAGGGGTGCATTATCACTGTAATCCAAAAGTTCCCTGCTGAACCTTCTATTTCAACCACAAACAAGTAAATCTAAATAGACATAAAAGTTACAAATTTTAGTTCACCATGATAAACTTAAACGCCACAGACATTTTTATCAAGAGCTTAGGATCTGAGGAGTACATACAAATCCAAGATCAGTACATGCAGTGATGTCAGAGAAGGAGACTAGACATGAAAGAAAAAGGGTTGGCTCTGACCACACAAGAGGAGACACATGGCAAGAACACCAAATGCATAATAAGCACCTTCAAGAGAGTGATTCTACATGATGGCCAAAGTCAAGAGCCTAGACTAATAGATAGGTATGGATCACAGACTTTCAAAACAAGGAACTATGACTAAGAATGTTTTTTCTCTTAAAAACAACTTGTCACTAAAATAGCATTCTAATATGTAGTTCACCTCTCAGTAAATGTTTACAAAAATCACAGCAAGCCAATATTTATGTTAACAATTTCTGTTTTCCATTTTGTATCGATTAGCTAATCTTTCCTATGTATAGTCCTATGTGTATGAAGGAAGTCTCATTCTCCCCAGTGTGATAATTTCCTTATCCAAGAGTCAGAGATTCCGGGTGTCCATTTCCTCTTAGCATAGCTTTTGTTCTGGGATAGTAAATAGAGAAAGAGCTTTTAGCAAATGCTTATGCATATATACTTCATGACTCACCATACCACAAAACAAAATACAAGAGAGATACCTGCACACCCATGTTGATTACAGCTCTGTTTGTAATAGCTAAATTGCTGAGGTGCTGGACAACAAATGAGTGAATTTACATACATGCATGCATACATGCATAATATCACGTACTATGGAGTATTACTCAGCCATAAAGGAAAACTAAATTATGCCATTTGTAGGAGAACAGATGGAACTGGAGATCATCATGTTGAGTAAGATAAGCCAAGTCCAAATAGCCAAATATCACATGTTCTCATTCATTTGTAGAACCTAGACCTAAAATGCTGCGGTTGCTACTGATGGGACATGAATGTGAAAAGAGGACTATCTGGGGGCATCAGTGGAAGGGGTAGAGAGAAAGGAAGAGGGTTGAAGGGTGAAGAGGACCAAAGTATGACACACACATATGTACTTTATTCTCCAACTGAATAAATGGTGTAGCATATACTTTTTACTCTCACACAGTGCCGATACCTATCCAGATGAGTTTAGTGACCACCCTTACCTATGTAGCAAACAATAATGGATCTAGGATCTAGATGGACCAAGTCACCCACTCATCATTTTTCTCTCAAGGCAAGAAACTGTGTAGTACTATATATTATCTATAGATTATTTATGTAGGGCTCCTTAAAACACATTCAGAACTCTGTGTGTGTGTACACATATGTGAGTGCTAATTCAGAAAAATCTATGGATAACAAATCCACAGAATGGATATCATAGACCCATCTCTAGCCTATGAATATGTTGTTATAGAAGATACCTTTTATATAATATGGGTCTCTTGGTGCTATTTTCAGGAATTGAAAAGTTATTGAAATTCATTAACTATTGATCTAGTTTATGAAAACATTTTTGAGATGTGTGTGTGTGTGTGTGTGTGTGTGTGAGCACAGAGGCTTGAAATTAGGGCCTTATACTCTTGGTTGGATTTTTCACTCAAGGCTGATGTTCTACCACTTAAGCCACACCTCTACTTCCTGCTTTTTGATGGCTAATTGGAGAGAGAATCTATTGGCTTTTTTTAACCCTAGTTAGCTTCAAATCCTGATCTAAGCCTCCTGAGTAGCTAGGATTATAGGAATGGGCTATCAGCACCCAGGGCTTGCCTTCCTTCCCTCCTTCCTTCCTTCCCTCCTTCCTTCCTTCCCTCCTTCCTTCCTTGCTTTTCTGTCTCTCTCTTCTCTTTCTTTTTTTGAGTTTCTTTTTTAAATTTTATTTTATTGTAAAGATGCTGTACAGAGGGGTTACAGTTACATGAGTAAGGCAATGAGTATATTTCTTGTCTAGCATTGTTACCCCTCCTTTGTTGTTTTCCCACTATCCCTTCTCTCACACACTTCTTTTTTTTCTTTTGGTAGTGGTAATGGGGCTTGAATTCAGGACCTCAGACTTTCTGGGTGACTTGATTGCTCACAGCTGGTGCTCTACAACTTAAGGTATATCTCTATCCCAGCTTTGTTATTTTTTTTTTTTTTCTGTGAGATGGTATTTCTTGGACTTTCCTGGCCAGCCTAGCTTTAAACTATGATCCTCTAGATCTTAGCCTCCTGAGTAGCTAGGATTACAGGCATAAGCTACCAGCACATGTATTCATTAGATACTTAAGAATGAAATTACAGGGCTGGGAAGGTGCTCAGTGGTAGAGTGCTTGCCTTGCATGCATGAGGCCCTGGGTTCGATTCCTCAGCACCACGTACCCAGAAAAAAAAAGCTGGAAGTAGCGCTGTGGCTCAAGTGGTAGAGCGCTAGCCTTGAGCTGAAGAGCTGAGGGACAGTGCCCAGGCCCAGAGTTCAGGCCCCACGACCGGACCCCCCCCAAAAAAAAGAATGAAATTACATATGTTAAGAAGATAAGCAGCGAATGTAAAATCAGAAAGGAAGAACTCAGGGAAAAAATACTAAAGGAATATGGATGACTAATTCTAGAGAAAACACAGAGTGAGGATTAAATGAGCACATTAAGATCTTTAGACGTATATATTTTACTCTAAAGATGCTGGTAACATCTTTAAAATCACCACCAAAGAAAAGATTTAGTCTAAACTACAGAATAGAAGAGTAAAAGTATAAAAAACCCTATGACTAGAAAAATGTGAAAACATTGGAAAACTAACCATGTAAAGAAATTTTTCCTGTGTTGCCAGTCTTAGGTTTTCATTTTTCACATATGCCTTAGTATGTTCCTGCTTAGTAACTAACAAGAGGTTAGAGGCAATAACTTTCTACACAATGACTCTGTGAGGCATCTGAGGGAGTGACCTCCCATTGTCCTTACTTGAATTTTCCCAACCATGAGTCGGCAATGGCTGCTCCAAGGATAGGAGTAAAATAGCAGAGGCTGCTGAAGGCATGGTATACGGATGTGGAGGTATCTTCATTCCAATGCAGGAAATACAGGAAATACAGGGTCAGCACAGCTATGATTTAAAAAAATGAATGAGTGGATGAACACCAGGAGACAAAACAAGATGAATGCAAGCAAGTGAATTATGGAGAAATATATTTAATTTCTGGTCTTTGAAGGAGAACTTGCCCTACAGCACTTCTCTCAGGAAAGTAAGGGCCTATGGGAAATATGGGAGTAGATGCTAACAATCAAGTTCAATACTCCAGCCTTCAGTCTATGTGCAGCTTGGCATCACGACCAACAATGAAGACTCCATGGTGCTTCCAGTACCCATTTCCTTCCTTCTCAGCAACAATCTAGGGCAGGGATCTGAGGAACAGATGTGGAGAACCCAGCTTGTGTAATGGGAGTTTTCCCACTCACATCCTCACACACTGTGTTCTGTTTCAGCCAGGCCTTTCTGATCTTGATCAGCAGGAGTTATCAAGTGAAGTCCTATTATAGATTTATTGTCTCAGCCAATGGAAAAGAAAAATTTTCACCCAGGCAGGAAGAATAGATAAGGAAAATAAATAACATCCAAGGAGACCAGACTACCACAAATGTGGGATAGGAGGGAAAAGAGAAGACACTAGGACACAAAGTTACCTTTCATGCCATAATAGGAAAAGCGTTCACAGAATTCGTTCACCACAATGAAGGCGATGCTCACTGGGTAGCTGGAACCACAGATTTTCTACGCAACAAAAAAGGTAGTGATTTGAGCATGAGCTCTTTTGTTGTTACAATCACTGAGAAGATCCCCCACATTGAAAAGTTCATTTAATTTATTAATTTTTGTCATGGGGGGGTCCTCATTATGTTGCCCGGCTTCCAATTCTTCATTCACCTGCTTCAGCTCCCAAGCAGCTGGGATTCCAGGCACATACCACCATACTCAGCTTATTTGTTTGTTTTAAATATTCAATGCCTTGTACTTGCTAGGCAGGTGTTCTACCATTTTTTGGCCACTCTAGCCTCTTTAGGGTCTCTCTCTCTTCTCCCTGTTCTATCCATCTCCCTCGCCCTCCCCCTCCAATCTGATCTGGTATGGCACTTCAGTCCTTTCAATGTCTGCCTCTTGAATAGCAAGGATTCCAGACATGTACCACAAAGCTCCGCTAAAACTCGTTTATTTAAAATCTTCATAGGACAATAATAAGGAACTACAGTATCTAATTCTTTGAAACAGCTACTGTCACACTATAAAAAGGGCTTAAGTTGCTGATCTAGGAGTAAAATAAGCTACTTTGAGTATTAGCATGTTCTCCATTTCACAGAGAACTGCTCAGACATTCTTTGATCGGGAACAGCTCATTTGCTCACAACTTCTAAACTAAAGCTGGGAGTTCTAGGCAAGAGATAATGGCACTCTGCTTATTAGGGACAGAAGGGAGAGGTGGCTTATGCAACAATTAGAGATATTTAGGCAATTACAGTAGATTCGAAGTCAGTATCCTGCTTAGTTCCACAATAGATTCTGAGACCTCTTGTCCCCACCTAGCCTATTCATCATGCTGGAGGCAATTCCAGCAACATTCCTGTTCAGAGGCTGTTGGAGCAGGCACCGAGCTCAACATGGAGGCAGAAATTCCTAAAGGTAGGCTGACTGAAGACTTGGACTTTGGGCAGAGGATTCTGAAATCCTATAAAATTAGATGCCTATTTTTCCCAGCCAAAAGACTTTATCATATATTCATGATAATCCTGGATATGAGAAGAACTATACTATTTCCTGTACTACATGAGTCATGGAATAAGGAATGTCACATTTTATTTCAAATCTCTGTCCATTACAATGTTGCAACTAACATGGGAGGGAGGTAGAGGTAACCTGTCCTTAAGGCAGTTAGATCTCCCCCACCCCACAGTCCTGGGACTTGAACTCAGGGCCTGGGCACTGTCCCCAAGCTTCTTTTGCTCAAGGCTAGCCCTCTACCACTTGAGCCACAGTGCCCCTTCTGGCTATTTCTGTGTATGTGGTACTAAGGAATTGAACCCAGGGCTTCATGCATGCTAGCCAAGCACTCTATCACTAAGCCACATTCCCAGACTGCTGTTAGATCTTATCAGGATATTTATATTGCCTTTTTTTTTTTGGTGGGTAGCTGGTGTTGTCCTGAGCATTTTTTCTCAAGGTTGTTGCTCTACCACTCTGAGCCACAGCACCACTTCTGGTTTTCTGGGGGTTAATTGGAGACTTACCTGCCTTGGCTGGCTTTGAAATGCAATCCTCAGATCTCAGCCTTCTGAGTAGCTGGGATTCTAGGTGTAAGCCACTGGTGCTTGGCTATAATACCTTTATTTCGTAAATATACACAGCTTTGCAAGTATCCTCAAATTACAGCTTTGCAAGTATCCTCAAATTCTCTGGGACCAGAAGAGGCATCATTAAATATATTAAATTAAAATGGCCATTCTTTAGTCCATATAGATATTTTGAAAAACCTCCTAAATACATGTTAATGTATAATAACAATTTGTCTTAAAAGATGTGATGAACTGTGATCCTTACCTTCCCAGCTTACACAAACCACGCAACCTGGTGTTTAGTAAATATACTGTCCTGAGCTATGTGACACTGTCACTAACGATTAGCCATGTCACTATTCCTGCCTCTATATCTCAATTCTGTTATTTCAAAGAAATGAGGACAATAATGCCTCTGGATCTATATGAATAACTTGGAGAATATTGGCAATTACTACTCTAACCTCTTAGGGGTTTTGATAGGAAAGCTGAATGATAAATTTGGAAGTGCTTTAATAAGTACACACTGTAAATCATTATTTCTTGTTTCTCTGTCTCATCTCCTACTCTAAATTGGGGACACTTGGTCACAGAGCGTGGATCTACTCTAAAACTTCTGTTGGTATCCAAAAAGAAGGCTTCATGCACAGAAGGCGAGTTTTCATAGTGGTAAAGAAGTAACAATCACACACAGTTCTCCAAACAACGAAGGCTTGCCAAGTTTCCCTGGACATTCAAATTTCTTTTATTTCTCCAGGGAAACTGAGAATTTGCAATCAAATGCAGCAAAGTTGGGAGTCCCAACTAAAGACTTCTGATTACCCCTTCTCCTCTGCTGCTTCCTCTCCTACGTAAAAGAAATTTCAATTTAGATTTGGTCTTCAGGTGAATTTTAACTTCAAGAAAGCTTAGTTTTATAGCATAATATAGCCCAGTATGAAGTTCCAGAGGCTAAAGAGGAAAGCCAAAAGAACAAGGCTAATTATTATTAGAGGTGACCTGAATTTGACAACTCACCGGAGGTGGCTTCTCTGGAGGGCTGGGAGGTCTAGGTGGTACCTCTTCAGTGCAGACAGGTGAAAAAAGAGTTTGCTTGGATTCATTTTTCTGGAAAGGGTTCATGGCTGGCTCCTTTCTCTCTCCTCAAGCATTTGGCTTCAGTAAGCAGTTAGGACAGCTGCCAGCCCACAGTGAAAAGGGGCTGGGGGGAGGAGGGGTGGCTCCAGCAGCTAGGTTTAACCCTGTAGGTGTCAGTTTCAATAGATGTCTGACTCAGAGTACTGCTGGCTGGAAGCTATAGGAAAAGAAAGGGTTGGTATACTCCTTGCAAAGAACTATTGTGTAAAAGGTATTGCATGGGGGAGTGAAAACACGTGGCGAACATGTATGAGGCTCTGGGAAACACACACACACACACACACACACATTTCAGCACAGATTTAAAAATGGGTTTTATTTCAGGATAACAATAGCTGCTATTTATTAGTCACCTATTATGTGCCAGGTTAATATGTACATGATTTACATACATTATGTGTATAAGGTTTACTTTAATTCTTAGTACTCTTCCCAATTTTACAGAAACTAATGTTTCCAAGAGGTTAAGTAATTTATCCAAAGTCGCATGGCCAATAAGTGGAAGATCTGGAATTTTCACTATGCTACCCAGACAGGAAAGTTGGAGATTAGTTATCAGCACTAATCTTGGCCATTATTCTAGTATGGAAATTCTCTTAAGTGGAAAAATAGGAATGTCAGGGAAACTGAAGTGCTTCACTAAATTAAATTTGAAAGACAAAACATGTTAATTTGGTTCTCAACAACATGAAGTTCAGTTAGAAAAATCCTATACACAATTTAGAAGGTGGGGCTAAAGAAAATGAGAGAAAACAGTCAGTGATGTACATTAGGGATTATTCATTCTTCTTTATTAAAGTTGTTCTTTATTATTTCACTTTTGCACCTCAAAACAAGTATGTTCTTTCATTAAAAAGTAAAATTTGTGAAGGGTAAACAAAGGAGGAGGCTGCAATGCTTGGTAAGAAATGTACGCATTATCCTGCCCATGCAATTGTAACCCCTCTGTACAGTATGTTCACAAATAAAATAAAATTAAATTAAAAAAAAGTAAAATTTAACCCACGCAAAAAGGAGCCATTTACTTCTTAGATACTGCTGCCAACAATATTTTCCTAATTTTCAATGGACAGGCTGGAAAATATTATATTTAGTCCTTACCAGAAGAAGAACAAGAACAAAGATATGACAGTTACCTATATTTCATTCTGTATTATTTTTTAATTTTTGATTTAAATAAAATATACATAGATTGTACAAAATGCCAGTTTTCATTGTGGCATATAGTTTTTTCTTTTCTGTGTGTTTGTGGACGTGCTCGTGTACATGCTTGTACTGGGGCTTGAACTCACAGTCTTGAGCTCTTGTTTAGTTTTCTCCCATCCAGTGGCTGGCACTCTACCTCTTTACTGACATCTGTAGCCCAGCTTTTTTGCTAGTTTATTGTAGAGTCTCATGGAATGTTCTGCCCGAGATGGCTGTGAAATGCAATCCTCAGATCTCAGCATTCTGAGGAGTTAGGATTATCGGCATGAACCATGGATCCCTGGCTCATGGTGACATGTCAATACATGCATATAATGTACTTCGGTTATATTCACTGTCCCCATTCCACTTTCTTATTCCTATGACTGTATTATTTTTGTTAAGTTAAGCAGATAAAAGAAGAGCAGAAGAACATGGTGCCCTACTGTTGTCAGAAAAGAAAGAGGAAAGAATTGTTCAGGCTTATAAAAGAAATTTACTTTTGTATGTTCTTCCCCCTATGGTATATTCCCTGTTGTCACTGTATTTGATTTTGGTACCTTGGTACTGTATATACATTTATCTGGATTAGGGAAGGGAAAGGGACAACAGAATGGTGAGACAAAGGACAAAAGGGGAACTGATGCAACAGCGATATTCACAAGGAAATAATCTGTACAACTGGGGGAGATTGAGGGGAGGGAAAGTGGGAGGAAAATGAGGGAAGGGGTAACAAGTTTGACAAGACATGTACTTATTACCTTACTTATGGAACTAACCCCTCTGTACATCACTTTGACAATAAAAACAATTTTTAAAAGTTACTCTATCAAGAGGTTAATCTTTGACAACTGAAGCACAGATCAGGCAATACCAGAATGGTTTTTTTTTCCATTTCAGGATCCAAGAGAGAAATCCTATGGCTCTATCCTTTGCAAAATTTATATATTACCTATTTGAATAATTTATCAACAAATAAGGAGTTTTTCTCTGTAAACTTTAACTCAGACTTTGGCCACATTTTCTCAGTTTCTATTATATTCTTCACCACCTCTCTCTCTCCCAGCCTTTATCCAAAGAATAGTCCAGCTTCACTTCTAACTGTAGTAATAACAATTAATAAGCAATTGTTCTTTTGGAACATGTTGCTTTTCTGACTTAGTTTGGTCAAAACAAATAGTCAAAAGTTACTAGCCAAGAGAAATAGTAGAGGCATAGGTAGCTTGAAGATCTCTGTCAGGGGCTTCTTTGCACTGACCTGGAACCTCTAGAATGGTATTTGATATGGCAGAGTAGATGGGGTAGCACCTATGTGTTGTGTACCCGTTCATTTGTGCTCATACGTATTCAGAAAACAAAACTTTACAATACAGACTTGGATTTCTGGCATTCCTCTATTTAGATTTTTTTCTTTTTAGCATTGATAGTAGGATGACAGTATTCATAGAGTTAAATAATATCAGAGTTGGAAGGAATCTAAATTTTAATTCTGTCCTATAGAAACTAAACTTCCCCAATGATGAGAAATATTTAGGGTAAACTTCTCTCTGTCGCTATCTCTCTCAGTCTCTGTCTGTCTGTCTGTCTGTCTGTCTCTCTCTCTCTCACACATATACACACATTGCATTTTTTTACTTGAAAATTATGATTCAGTTGATCTCACTAAGGACTAAAGAACCTGCATTTGTAACAAGTACTTCTGGTGATTCCTATGCTGGGAATTTGGGAAATATTAATTTTAGATCTCTCTTTTATTCTAGTCTAAAGAATATTTCCAGAGTGCTCAAAAGGAACAGAACAAAGACTAGAAACCCAAGCTCCCAAGGGCAAGTCTAGAGCCCTTTATCTTCTATCATATAACATGACTGTTACAACCTATTATTTTTGCTATGTTGACTTCAGATAGGAGGCAAAAGAGAAAAGATCACACCAGAGTCAGAATGGAATAAACTCCTCAGAAACACAAAAGGATAGTAAAAGTATAAATATCTAAATCCAAATACTTGAATTAATTATCAGTGATCAAGAGCTTTGATGATCAGTGATCAAAGTAAGGAATATTTATGGCCCCAATGATGATGTCAGAGACTGATGGTTTATAGGCAGAAAAGAAATGAAAACTCTAAAATGACAGACACCAATGCAGTCAGAAAGAAGGAACAAATAAGAAATTGAGAGACTACATATGTAACAACATCCCTGAATATAAAATCAGCACACATGTAAAATTGTATTTAAATATCAGCAAAAAAGAAATAGAAAAGGGAGCTTAAAAACAATATCAGTTCTACTGGCACACTATAAATAAACATAATTAAAGTTTTTTAAACCTGAATACTAAGAACTATAAGCTTACTGAAAGAAATTTTTAAAAATCTAAATAAATGGAGACATAAAATGCTCATGATTTGGAAGGCTCATTTTGTAGAGAAGTCAATATTCCCTAAATCAATCTATTTCAACACAAAATTCCAGCAGGTTTTGTGAGTATAGAAAATGTTCATTTTCTTTTTAAAAGTGCATATGGAAATGCAAGAAGCCAAGAAGAACAAAGTTAATCTTGAAGAACAATTGTGGAGGACTTATATTATCCAGTCTAAAATCCAACATAAAGCTGTAGTAAAATCAGAATGGAATCGACACAAAGACAAAATGATCAATAGAACAGAGCAGAGATCAGAGAGATTCACATGTATCCTGTTGATAATACTCAGTGCTTGGGGGGAAAATGGTGTTTTCAATTAACAAATATCATCTAAGCATTTATATAAGAAAATTATTTTGATTCTTACACCACATAAAAAATTGATTCCCAGGAAGTGACGCTGTAGCTCAAGTGGTAGAACGCTCGCCTTGAGCTGAAGAGCTGAAGGATAGGGCCCAGGCCCAGAGTTCAAGCCCCAGGACCGACAAAAAAAAAAATTGATTCCCAATAGATTATAAATATAAATTAAAGTAAAAAAGGTTTTCAGAATAAAACATAAAAGAATATAATTGTGGAGTAAGCCAAGCTGTCTTTTTTTTTTTTTTGGTCGGTTGTGGGGCTTGAATTCTGGGCTTGGGTGCTGTCCCTGCGCTCTTCAGCTCAAGGTGAGTGCTCTACCACTTGAGCCATAGCACCATTTTCAGTTTTCTAGTGGTTTTATTGGAGATAAGAGTCTCATGGACTTTCCTGCCCGGGCTGGCTTTGAGCCATGATCCTCAGATCTCAGCCTCCTGAGTAGCTAGGATTACAGGCATGAGCCACTGGTGCCTCTGCTGCCAAACTGTCTTAAGATATAAATAGAAATAAATAAAAAGAAAAACTGGGGCTGGGAAGGTGGCACAATGGTAGGTGCTTGCCTTGCATGCATGAAGCCCTGGGTTCGTTTCCTCAGCACCACATAAGCAGAAAAAGCTGGAAGTGGCACAGTGGCTCAAGTGGTAGAGCACTAGCCTGGAACTGAAGAGCTGAGGGACAGTGCCTAGACCCAGAGCTCAGGCCCCATGACCAACCAAAAAAACAAAAAAAAAGGAAAAAAAGAAAAGAAAAATAATGGTATGTTAGACAATTAAAAAAAATTTGGCCATGCACCAGTGGTGCTTAGTGACTAGTTACTAAGTTACTAAGGAGGCTGAGATCTGAGGGATTGTGATTTAAGGTTAGCCCATGCAGGAAAATTTATGAGACTCTCATCTCTAATAAACTACTCAGAAAATTTCGGAAGAGGTGCTGTGGTTCAAGGGACAGTGCCCAGGCCTGAGTTCAAACCCAGGACAAAAGAAAAGAAAAGTTATCACACATAGTGGGAGAAAATATTTATCCAACATATATCTGCCAAAGGATCTGGCTCCACACTATATAAAAAAATCTATAACCAGAAAGATGGATAAGTAATGAAAAAATGTTCAAAAGTGGAAATAGATATTTTAGAGTATATCCGAAGAGTCATACATCTATAAACAGGTTATTAATTATAGGATATAAATTAATATATTTAAAATTAGTCC